GCCATCACTCATCATCATCATCATCATATACCACGGCGTGCTGTCTTGTTTACGTTGCACAAGTTTACGTTGCGTGCGGTATGTTTGCTCCGAGCAGCTTCTCATGTGCTTTTATTTCATGTTATTAAGGTCTTTGGTTTGGCAAGGCATTAAAAACACTTTTGAGATTTTTAATAAGCTCTACTTCAAATAATTTCGATCGTGATTGTCCCACAAAAACTGTGTTGAAGTGGAATCACAGCCGTGAAGAAGTTCGTGCTGGAGGGAATTTCGAAGCATTATACCCTATGGGACTTTGACAGAGAATGAATAAATCTTCCTTGTGGCGAAAATTTCGATGAAGCGGACTTCGTTATAGCGGAATTCGACACTGTGTAATTTATAAACCAGATGCACTGCGACTCATGATAGCTAGTAGTTTCTAAAAGCCATAGCAACATCATGAAGAGCTCTGAATGATTGGCGTTAAAGGGACACTAAAGGCAATTATTAAGTCGACACTGATTGTTGAAATAGCAACCCAGAAACCTCATAGTGTTACTTTTGTGCCAAGGAAGGGCATATCTTAAGTTAAATCACGTTTTAGTGATCCTCATCGGGATAGTGCACTTCAAATTACTCGCCTCTAGAAGCGCACCGACCGGACCAGCTCACGTCACGGTTGCCGTGTACAGCGTTGCCCGGCTTTACTGCGCTAGTAGCAGCATACCGAAAGCAGCGGGAGCTGCCACAGCAGCAACAACTGCCATTGATAAATTTCTCGCCGTTGGCTTCGAGATTACAGACGTTTTTGTTTCAACTGCGCCCCGCTAGATAGCACCACCTGTCCCGTGTAACCACGCGAAAATTGAATTTTTGAACCACTCGTGCCATTCCCCATAGTAACGTATTGGCGGTTCTTTTTTCTATGAATCAAGCAGAAATGAACAAGCAGCATTTTATTGCTGTCTCTTGATATATGGAAGGTTCTTTATTTAGTGCAGCTAGATCGATTACTAGTGATTAATTGTAGGCCGTCCTTCTGATGTCATCGGGATCATTTTGAAAATGTCCTACTGCGACGCTTGTGCTATTGTGCATTTACTTCAATTTCTTGGGAAGTAGGGCACTTTTGTTGACAATATAGTCATTTTAGATGTCATACATTGAGCTTTCACTCTGACATAAATTGTTATTTGACTTTAGTGTCCCTTTCATGTTGTTAGATGTCGACAATCATATTTGTGCAGGTAAATATACACTGCATAATTTACGAACCATATTCACTGCGACTCATCACAGCTAGTAGTTTCTCAGGGCCGTAGCAACATCCTCAACAGCTCTGAATGATTGGCATTAAAGTTGTTAAATGTTGACGATCATACTCGTACAGGTAAATACACACTGCGTAATTTATGAAACAGGTGCACTGCGACTCATGACAGCAAACAGTTTCTCAGGGCTGTAGCAACATCATGAACAGCTCCGAATGATTGTTGTTAAAGTTATTAGATGTCGATCATCATACATTTTGCTCATAAATATACACTGCATAATTTATGAAGCAGATGCACTGCAACTAATGGCAGCTAGTAGTTCCTTCGAATCTCAGTACGGTTTTTCACATAATACCAGAGTACTGCAGCAAAAATGACTGAAGGAGCACTTTGCACGCTGTAGATGATTGACAGAAAACTTTAGAGCTGCCATATTTTGTCATTATTTTGTTATTGTGGTGGTGTTTGTGATGTTTTTAGGGGAATTTATGGTCATTCTAGCACAACAGGAGAGTTGGTAGGTGTACAAATTCTCGCGCCTGCATGTGATTACCACGTTTTCACCAGCAGTGCACATGTTCGTACCTGCATGCTAGCAGACGTTCGCATTGCGGGATGAGAATCAGTTCGCAACAACCATACTGCATTACATGGCAGGCTAATAGAGACCTTGGAAACCCCGAAATATCAGCGAGTTTCAACTACAGTCGAATCTCATTAATTTGAACATTTGCGCTTAATTCAAATTTCCGGTTAATTCGAACTCACGATGAGGTCCCGTCAATGCTGTGTGTAACCAAATGGGCGAAATCGCCCGGTAATTCGAATGGGCAAGCACTTGCGACAGTTAATTCGAACATACAGCGCTCCCAAAATGCTTTCAGCACCCCGCCCAATCTCGTGGCGGCATCGGCGACACCTCAACGCTGCGTGTGAAAAAAATGAAAAGGAAAGAAAAGGCTGCAGTGGAATGTTTGCTGTTTCTCAAATGCCGATCTGCGACGCGCCCATGTCAAGCTTTTCCCTCCTTTTTCGTCCCTGCCATGTAAAGACCCTTCTCCTTCTAACGCCGCGCACGCGAAGAGAGAGAGAGAGAGAGGAAAAAAAAATAAAGCTGTCGTTGGGTTGAATGAATGTGCGGTTGAAGGAAATAAAACAGGCATTATCTTCTGCAGCCCTTGCCCTTTGTGGGAGCATTGCACTGCACCTTGAGGGGGGGGTCTCTCACGCACCCGTGCCACGCTTCCCCATTCTTTCCCGTCCCTGCCACGTAACCCTTCTCCTTTCAACGACACACGTGAAGAGAGAAAAAAAAAAAAAAGCTGCCATGGAGTGTTGGTTTTCTCTCAATTGCCGATCTGCTTTTCTCTGCATGGAGATGCTCCCCCTTTCTCGTCACGTGCTGGCCATGCTGCGGCGCAGTCGTTGTTGTCGTCGTCTTCAGAAACTGTCGCCGCTGGACATTACCGCGCGCAACTCCTCTCGCCAGAAGAATCCTGAAGCCGAAGTAGAAATGCTTTGCAAGCTGCGTGCGGAATTGATTGACTTGCTGCAAGGCAAACGTGTGCAGACGCGCATCACCAATTACTTCAATTATAACGGATGTCCTGTGATTTGTGAATAAATTTAAGTCTTCTGAAACTTCCCCCTCATGTGTTAGCTCAACGCACATGCGCCACTGCATGGAGAGACCTCCGTTTATTTAGCTTTCATTAATTCAGACTTCTTTTAATTCCAACAAATTTTCGGGCCCCTTCGAGTTCGAATTATCGAGATTCGACTGTATATAAAATTCCATTAAAACAAACACAAATTTTCCAAGAGAGGCCAATTGTCCACATGGTAAGGAAACAGTTACCTTAAAGGAGCACTGACATCAAATTTCAAGATCGAGATGTGCCCATCATTCGGTCGCTTGATATACATAGGTCTTCTTGGCTAAATTAGAACGGCATCCGTCGGTTGCAAGTTATCTTAATTCAATGTCAAGCAGCGTAGAAAAGCTGAAGAGAAAAAACAAAAAGTAGACTGCCTTGCGAGATCGACACTAGTGCTACGTGTTCGGTGTGATACATTCCAGAAATACCATCTTGAGTGATGATGCGCTAGTAGCGATGACGTGTACGATCCGAGTGTTCTTATTGTGGTGCCAACTGGTGCCGAAGCGCGGAAACGCACTGTTTGTCACGTCTGATCTTCGTCACACCGGTTTGAATGATTTCGTGAAATTATCAAGGTAAAAACCACCATTCAAAAAACGGCAAAAGAAAAGAGCATGATTAAACGTGTGCTTGTCGGTCAACATGTTAGGGAATTGTGAGTTGCAGGTGAGTTGCAGTCGGCTAGTTCGAAGCACGGAAAAGTGCATTGAGGGTGTCTTTTCATATCACGTATGCCTTACACATCAACACGACCACAAGCTATCAAAAGTGGAACAGCGTATAGTCGGATATCATTGCTAACAAGTAACATGCACGTATCGTTGAACTTTAGTTCATCTGTAGACTTTGCGTCCACGTAAAAGTGGTAATATCATGTTAACCGCGAGAAGCTGGATAGGTGGAGCCATCTGGAAGCGTAAAAAAGAACCTGACAAGTAGCAAACGTATTCTATTTCTTCGCTGATGCTCATTCGCGATAGCTATATTGCATTGACCCCTCTGCGTATACCTGAATGCTTTGCACGTCAAAACACACCAATATAGCTGAGACACACGAGCGAACATGGCTGAAGCGTGCATCCTCGGACCCTTCTGCAGTGCTGCTTGGAACGGCGTTCATTTCGGAATCACTGTTCAGCAAAAGGTCGATCGCAGCAAAAATAATTTGCGACGTCGCGAATCATGGGGATTTCAAGCTCCAGACTATCGTATTGAACCCGAGTCGACACTTTGTACGGCGACAGCAGCAATGCAGGTGACAAGGCATGACTGAATGTGTCCGCCTAGCAGACGAAATGTTAGCGGAGCAGCTGAGCCTGACGTCACTCTTCTGTGGAGAAGTGGTCAGCTGTGGCGTGATCTGGAAGTAACCGCGAGGCAGCGCCACTGCTGGTGCTCCCAGCGCTAAAAATGGCGGGATTGCCGGCCGTTTTGAATAGTGCTAGATACCAGTGATATAAATCAATAAAAGTGATTGTTATTTATCTCTCAGTTGCATTTTAGGTCGCGAATCGCTAATACGGAGTAAATAAATGAAAGCCTCATTGATTGCTTAGGTAATAGTACTAATCATTCAAATTCCGGCTTCTACTTTGATTCTTCGCCCATAAACTATATGTCGTTTAATGATGGCACTGTTGAGATCTAGGGGTCTATAGCTACTTGCTGACGCAAAAAACTTGGCATGAGTAAATTTGATGTCAGTGCTCCTTTAAGTATGCAACAAGCATAATGAATTTTGTTTGGATTATACACCTAGTTAGTGCCTGAGTAAATTTTTTTTATATAGTTTACAACTAATGCGAAAGCTTTGGAGAAGGCTTTTTTACTAGTATGAAAATACCAGAGCGTAACTGAACAGCATTTTCCAGTTAAGGTTCCAGCTGAACATTATCTTCTGGCTGTGAGCGCATATCAAATACTACATTATTGCATAAACATTGATCTTATAACACTCTTGAGTTATTTTCCTATGATAATTTTCAGTATGCTTCTTTCTTTTACATTACTGAGAAGAAAAGGAAAACAGGTGAAACTGTGACGTAAGTGTGCGTAGAAAAAAAAAGCAAAATATGAGGCTTACTTTTTTCAGCTTGTTGGAAGTGCTTAAGTGCCTGCGAATGTAAAATGCAGAGGATGATTAAATAGACAATACAGAGGACGTTAAAACTTGCATTTATAGAAGGACCACACTACAACAGAAAAAAAATGTGCAAAAATAAAAACAAGCATGTCTGTCAGATTTATTCATGAAAATTCGTTAGCTCCCCTCCCCTATTTCTCAACACATACACCCACAAAAATATCTTACGTTTCATGGGCAACAGCCATGACATGATTACGCACGCAGGGCACACTGAAGAACTGCTTTGTATATGATCATTTTGGTTTTGTTTCTTTTACACACACCTAAATCTATGTACAAAGTTTTGTTTTACATTAATCCCTATCAAAATGCAGTTAAAAAGTTTGAGAACTTGTATCAATGCAACTACAATTTTTTTTTTATCTAGCAACGTAGCATCATCTGCACTTAGCTTGTATTAGTGCAAGTGCAATACATCTAAGAAGGAAACATGACACAGACGTAAAAAAACATGGTGCTAAACTTCCAACTGTTTATTTCATGCCATTCATACCAATCTTATACATGCACAAAAAAAACACAACTCATCATGCACGTGATCTCATTTAAAGGTACGTCATTTTTGTTTTTCGTCAAAGCAATTCATGGCGAACTCACACAGAAGTTTCCCATATGTGCTATAATTTTGGCATCTTTTACTTCACAAGTCAGGTGATTCCGAGACCGACTGATAACAGTACAGCTGTGCAGATCAGGGGCACCCATAACCTTTGCAGTGTGCTGCTAGAAACCCTTCAGCTGGAAGTCTATTAGTATCGTTTACTTAGCTTTGGATAAAAAAACACCAGATTAGATCTGTTGATTGTGAGTACTGTTTGGTCTACAAGTTTTCATTATCGCGTGGGAAGTACTACTACATAGTAGGGCAGAGTAAGCAGTGTCTAAATGATGGACTACATGAATACAGCTACAGTGCGACAACCAACCTGTATCCAGCAAAATAAACACACGGAACAATACACAAAGAATGAATAGTCGCACTGCAAGTGTAAATCCGCATGAAAAGCCAATTCTAAATGATGGCAACTCTTCAGTTTAATCCAAGACCTCTTTAGTACATAGCACTACACCGCAAACGTTGTTTTGAAAAGTTAGATGTAAAAATGCTGTTTGAATGCTCGTGATGCATGCCGGCTAGGTACTTTATTTAAAAAGCGCCGTATTGGTGAAATCGGCCCAAACTACCCGTGCTGCCAGTTTGCGTAGAAGTTGCAGCAACTCAAGAATTTTCGCGAATCGCGTAGCGCATTGCCAAATAGCACCATTTGGTCACCTTTCCTTTCTTTCACTAAGGCCTGTGCAAAGGGTTATGCTGTGTATTGATTCAGTAAGTTGTTCAAAAACAGCCATACCTTTGTAAAATCTGTGCCGGTTGGGGGACAATATGCAGTTCTGATGCATTAAAGCAGCAAAGCGTTCGAGAACAATATGTATGCACACCACACTTGTTAAAGTAACAGCTGACAGTAACATCCTTTTGTTTTGCTTGAGATTTGTGAAGTGGAATTACATTTGTTCATTTGAGATTTGCAGTAAGCACCCCGATTATCACGGAATCCTTAAAATTGATTTGTTAGATTGCCTAGTCCAGTTCCTTTCTTTTCAAGCGAATATGACGGGTGGTAGTGTGACATCTTGTGGCAATCTTCCAAGGCCGCTAGAAAGAAAATTGGTTGAAAATAGGTACATATTCAACCAATCTGCATTTTAGTTATAACAGAGCTTGTTGTTGGGCCAGTTGGTAGATCATTTCTAAAAACCTAATTTGCATGTTTAATGCCTAGGTGTGTATGTGCGAGTGTGTTGTGTTCTTGCGCTCAAATCAAGTTTTTAAAGTGCACTTTAGTTACTTTTACAATAAAGGTACTTGGCTGTTATTTTGTTTTTTGGGTTTATATGCAGTCCCCCAGCAGTAATCAATTTAGAACTTGCATTGAACCACCTTCTCCTAAGTGTTTAGTGTTCAGTTCAGAGTGATCAAAATAGTAGTTTAGCCATATGCTAAGAGATTATGATTGAAACAAAGATATGCTATTCAATATCTCTCACAATGTATAAATCCCAGTGTTAGTGTGGATAGCACACTGCTTGAAGGAAGACAATGTTTAAACCACGGTGTTAGAATAGTTTAGGTGGAGTGAAGGCGCATTGGAGTGAGGAGAAATCGGGGACCTTTTTCCCTTTCTTGCCGGAAGGAGGCGCGCGCGGGACGGAGGCCGCCTGGCTACACCCAGCGCATACCCGACGCTTCTAACATTCGGTGTTTTAGCGTGTTCAGCGATATCGGAAGGCCCTGTGAGGATTATGTGGCAGTGTAATATCATATCTTAAATATAAAGACTTCGCAGTGTTTTACGCCTGATGGTTCGGCATGCGGCGTGAAGCTCATAAACACCACATTCAGCCTCGACAACACCGTGGGCTAGGCGATCGTTCCCGCATTTTGTCTACAAAAGTAAATATGCAGTTGTGTGGCGCGTGTTGAATTCACCCTTCATTTGCCCTCGAAAGAATAATTGGTGTATTTGCGGTCAGATCATATAAAGAGCAGGTATCATGCGTAAGGGGCATTTCGCATATCAGATAAAGTGACCCCACAGAATCTTTTATTACGAACCGATTATTTGCAAATTCCGTAAACATCTGCAAGAAAACGAATGCTTTAATGCAATGGAATAGAATAACTCTATTTAGGTCTTTCAAGGCGTGCAGTAGCACGTGACGCACCGCTTCCAGGTCGAAAATGCAGGATTGAAAGCGAATGCAATAAAGTGGGCGACAGCTTGCGACCGATGGCTGCTCTTTGATATATTCAAAATAAACAGACTGTAAGATATATAGGTTACGGTGCGCCAAGAATTTTATCACAGTATTGGCACGATCTACGAATTTTACATATTTTTGCCTGAAAAAGCGGCTTTAGCTCGAGTACTGTGTGGTGCGGCTAAATGGTACGAAAAAATGTAGGATAGTACTCAAGGTGGTAGTAAAAAGAAAAAAACACTTTATTCATTCGACAGTGCATCATCTGTACCAGCACAACATGCACTGACAGGATAAAAGTCACAACACACTAGACAAGCTTTGAAAGCTTTCGTAGCTTCTGCGTCTTGTCTGCTTCAACCTTCCGCAGTTGCTTACAGTATTGCCTCATCCTGACTCCAACATAGTAATGAAGCACTTTCGACATAATATCCACCTTGTGCTCATGACAGGGAAATGATAACATGGAATTTTCTACTACATAGTCTATTGTCATGTCAAATGCGTGCTTTTCTCCCGCATGTTTGCAAAATATTGCTTCAACTTCCTTTAAGAACATAAACAGGGAAGTGTTCGGGTGTACCAGTCCCCCTCACGTCTTGCAGGCTACTAATGCAGCTTCAGGCTTCGACGCTGGATTACTTGTAGCTGCCAAGCCATTGCGGCATTGTTGACAAGTGGTGTTCTTCAATATCTTCAAGTCGGTCACATTATCTGACGAGGATATATCCGAAAAGACATTCTCACACTCAGCTTCTTCTTCCACTAAGCCGTCTAGTTTCTGTTTCAGTCCCTCCAGACACGACTCTAGAGGAGCAGATTCCTGAAATGCTGACGTTAGGTCAGAGAGGCTCAAAAGGCGTGGCTCTTCACTAATCTATACCTGGCAGTTGCCAAATTTTGGCGGCTTCACAAGGCTATATATTGAAAGCATATTATATAACTGCAAAAACGTAGGTAAGCAAGGGTGGTCATTCTGACCGTTCGCTTGGCGTATGACGCCAAAGAATTTTTCAAGGACGTCCAGGTTGAATTTAGCTGTTAGCACATATTTAAAGCCACACTGTTCTAACAAATACTTTGCAAGCTGAATTGTAGAAAGTATTGTTATTCGCATACCTTCAGCAGTTGATTGAGACAGGAAGTTAAGGATTTACTTTAGCTAGCTTGACATCTTTCTCCCAGTTGTACAGCCATTGCAATGTTGATTCTAGAATGCTGAAATCTTTCCTTCCTTCTCTGAGGCCTTCCTTCGGGTACTTGCAGTTGAAGGCATCGAACAGGTTATTCATCCTTACCGTAAAATCAACTGTCCCTTTTACATTGCATAAGCCAAGCGATCCCTTCTGTGAGTAAAATTCTAAACCGTTTGCCACACTGAGGCTGAACAGCTGCGTTGCAAGCTTCATGCGCATTTTTTCGGTGTTGCTTGGGTTTACATGTGAGAAAGAAAGTTTTGGGTAAACCCTCAACATGCCTTCGGCCTTGGTGTCAACTACGTAAAGTTTGTCATAGTGTGACCACATCACGCGGCTGCCGTTTAGAGAGAATAGCTTTTGCTTCAGAAGCCGGTTTCGCACGCACTTGATTAGATGTGGCGCGTCTGAAAAAACATTAACACTTCGTTCCTCACACACAGGATTAACAAAATAGTTCTTTGCAACATTTAAAGCACCAGTTACACCAAAGTGCTTCCACATGGATCGATTGGTCGTGGCACTGTCACACACAATCGCATCGACAAATGCGCCTGCACTTCAAGAAGTAGTATCGTTTTCAATACAAGCTGGGACAACACAGTTCCTTTTGTAGGGCCGTGGTTTGCAAAAACAGCCACAGATGGGAGTAGCTCTCACCAAAAGAACGGAATGCAAACACAAGTCCATGATCGGCTAGCTGCTTCGGCGCTTCAGCTTCATTTCAGAAATCTGCATGTCCAGAATAAGTCATTGTTTTAGAGTTCACCCGCAATTCTTTGCGAACGTTAATTTCATCAAACACCAGAATTCCATGTCTTCGAAAAGCGTCTTTTGTTGAGAGCTTTTTTTTGAACGCACTAAAAAAACGAGTGTCAAAACCACATTTCACAGGCACCATGGAGAGGTATTTCCGCACTGTCGACACACACGGAAGGGGCAATACGTTATCACGCAGAAAGGAATAGCCTGACGGGCTACGAATGTGCAAGAGCAGGCAAAGTAGGAG